GATCAGTGCTTTCCATCCAAAGCATTGATCTCACATCTAGACGAAAGGAGAGAGGTGAACTACACTATATAAATATGATTAAAGATTATCAATGCATATAAACAACAATTCTAGTTGACTTTAGAAAGTAGACGCTACTTATTATATTGCAAACATTGGTAAACATTTTTGATATATATAAAAGAGAAACCAGATAACAGAGTTAAAATATTTATATATGAAAGAATCGACTCCCAAGAGTGGCATCACATGGTCTGAAATGTGACAACAAACAACGAAAAAAAAAAGATCTATTGATATTAATTTTCTTTTAATTTTCTTTTTTTCTTTTTTCTTTTTTCCCTGGAAATTTTTCTTTTATGATGAACATGTTAAAATAGTTACATATGAAAGAATCAACTCCTCAGAGTGGCATCACTTGGTCTGCACATTGGGACAACAAACAACGAATTAGGTAAAGAGGTCTATTAATATTAAACTGCTTTTAACGCACAGAATTCCCCTTAGACTTCAATACAGGAGTGATTGACGTGATACACATAAAAGCATGCAAAAAGACATATTAATTGGGTCTGAGAAACCTAGAAGTATGGGAAACTATGGTACACCGTTACGTTACGGAATTGATGTTATCTGCCAATAATTAGTGAGGTTACTTAATGCCAAGATTGTTACAATCCGGAAGAAAGTATCAAAATTGGTACAGAGTGTTCTGATGTCACTTGAAACAAATTCAGAAGGGGTGCCAGTGAATTCCAAWTCAGGGAGGGATAAATYCGTCTTGRATGGGGAGGGGTGGGTCATATRTGYATATGTCTTCCATARCATTCTTTGTTACTACCCTTCAGAAATACGACTGAAAATACCCCCCTGACAGCAGATKTCGTGGSACCYCTTCYAAATATGRTCTACAGAGCCTAAGTTAACTTTGAGCCAATTTKYATGCYCTCTTYKAGTCTGTAACGATATTACCAAAAATTTACCATCTAAAAAAAAAAAAAAGGAATAATATGTTTTCCTATACATCTCCTGGCGTGTGTTATGAAATACCACCTCGATCATCTACATGGAACTATTGTCCCTTCATCTCTCAAACAAATTCGTGAAAGTTCTATYATTTATCGTACCTCTGTATTTACAGGAGGCAATTTGGCATATATTCATTTTGGTTGTTTTTAAATCAAACATCTGTGCTAATTTTCTTCTMAGCACTTCAAAAGGCGTCAAAGAGAAGTGAAAGGAGATAAATAAATATCCCATTTAACCCCATCAGTGTCATATTGCTAAAATATTATCAAGGGAAATAACACGCACATTGAGATTGTTTCTCGATATGTGCAACTACAGCGCCAACGGATAAATCTTATTTCCGATTCAAAAAAAAAATGGAGTACACGTAGAACGAAAAGAAATATAAACATATACTTAGGAATCGGAGACTGAAAAAGGGAGTCACAGCGTGAATGCACGAATGGTAGTTAAGAGTGAATGTGTAGGATGTCCGCCCTCGTGACTTGTATCAACGCAAAACGTTAAGAATTGCATAATATTTGGTCTATTACTCTTCTGCTCATAACTCCTCTTATGAACTCAGTTTTTTTATTTTTGAATATTCTTTCCGCCCTCTGTTATTTACTGATTTGGGTTCTTAACGTCCGCGCTTAATT